CTTTGTTGCGCACTAAAACGGGACGTTCAAAAGGATGCATTAATCTCCAGGGAGTCAATATACGCTAGTCTAGCACATCTATTAATGTATACACAATAAATTTAATTTTATGTTTAATATCTCTATGTACGCGGTATCTGCTAGTCTATCAGCTTTTACATTATATGCACTATCAATTTAATATTCCAAGTATTTCATTCATTCTGTTCATTTAAAATTTATAGAATATTTGCATTACATCAATCAATTTTACGAAATTTACAAAACACTACTGAAACTATGATATAGATTTGTCAAATTATATTCAATAAATTTTAATCTATGTTTAGAGGCGAATGAAATGAAAATAACTATTTACACAGTATACCTATTGAAAATTAGTCAAAAAGGGCATACAGACAATACACATATTGTATAAATATTCGATAAGAACTACAACTGCATTGGTTGAACAAGTCAAATCGATACAGTCTGATTGATTTGTTTTTCTTTGTTTGCTTGGATTGATTGATCGAAGAGATATTTGGTCATGATATGGTTTACCATAAATATTTTAAGATCTTTAATCATAAATTTTGGATTATAAAATATTAATAGTTTTCAATTGGTCTATGAGTATATTCCTCAAATGATAACCCTTCTATTGGCTATCGATAAATATTGATTTAGTTTAACAGTCCTGAAGAGATATGATATAGTCTATGTGATCTTGCTTAGATTATCTATTCGATATGTTATCGAGAAATGTGTTACTTGCTGATAATCGATAAATATCGCTGTCTAGGTCTTCGTCTATCAGAGGCTTATTAGGCTTTATCAACTGAGTTGACCTACTATTTGAGGACTTCGCATTCTGATCCGCGGAGGGCGTCAACAATTGGGTTCTCGCTGCGCTCCTGTGGCCATCCTCATCCTCTGCCGGGGAAGGTGTGTCGTCCGCTGTGGCCGCATTGCTGGCCGAGCCGGCGGCAACTGTGTTGGATAATTGACTACCTGACGATGTGATGGACATGGCAATGTTGGGCTTCTCTATAAGGCGGCTCATGGCAGACTGCAATGGAAGAGAGATAATACATATAGGCATTTTAAATACAATTGAAATTCTAATTATAATTCTTGGCTATAAGCCTATACGCCATTGATATTCCCCGACAGATCCCACAATCGCTCATCAAAGTCACGAGCGTATTATGATTGAGTTTAAGCTCTTATCAGTTTAATGCGCGCTGATAAGACAAGGCAAGGAAATAATTCGCAAGGCTTAGGGATCGAATAGAACAAAATATTTCATGATTGTTTCATAACGCAACAAACGTATTTTGCATACTTATATTTTGGCATTGTTTCAAGAAAATCAAAAGCAATTAAGATTTATGCAATCAAATGTGACCAAGCCAAAATCTGTTGTTGAAAATTTCAATTGTACTTTGCTTAGACAGCTACCGTTTGAAAAGAGCTTGTAGATTAGCCGTTCCGATAAGATTGTAACACGTTGAACGTTTACCTTTGAGGCTAAGACCATTTTATATACAAGAGTTGTATATGTATTCAAGTTCTTGATACGGGGAGATACGGGAAATATGCCAAGAAATATTGTTTATATAAATACTCTTAGAAGGTCTTATTTCCAATATATTTATACTTTTCGTCATGCTCGTTCACCTGTTCAACTGTGTCATATTCCATGGGAAATCGGAAACACTCTAGATAAGAGCTTGGAAACCTGTTATTTACTGAAAAAATGTAAACAAGCTGGCAATAGCAACAAATTATCACCAAATATTAATTATAGCTAGCCCATGTGCTGGCACACACCTCCCAAACAACTATTTTATATAGATGGATTCGCACCCTCACACACACACACACACACACACACACATATGTACTCATATGTAGGCATATTTTAATATATCCATGTGAATATATATATTTATAGAGCGGCCCGGTGCGATTGGTTTCACCTTGAACAAGTTTTAGCATAAGGCAGAAACGAGCGAAGCTCATGATAAAAACATATACATATGTATGTGTGTATATATCTCTAATGATAAGATACAGCTGAGCACACAGCAGCTGGCTGAGAGATAAAATTAAGACGGCTATTCAGTGCATAAAAGGAAAGAAAAAACGAAACCGACTCTGCTCCAAACTTCAACTGTGATTTAGTTGAGGTTCTCGAATGTTGTGGTTGGCGCTAAAGGGTTTCAATTTTACAATATTATATTACAATTACGGAAGAAATGAGTCTGTTTGAGTTTTTCTAAGGAAACAATTGAGGCAACAACTGTCACATAAAGTTCTTTGAATTACCACATTAATGTAGTTCCTCCGTATAAATTTCACATTTTAGAAAGTAATTTATTTGCATATACATATATGGAAATCACTTATATATATTATATATTTAATTAATTACTCAAAATGCTTTTTTAAAATTATGTTAATGATTGCTTTTCTATTTTTGGCAGTCATTGAAAATTATATTTTTAGATCAAGTTGAAAGATTTTCAAAATCATTGCAAATTGTAATTACTGGATTTTCTATTGGATAATTTACCTACAGACACATGCAAATCAATTGCGTACCACTGTGAAGGGGATGCTGGGGATAGTTGGGTCGCTCGGTTAGGGGAGGGAGATTTTGCACGGAGCCGGCAAAACAAATGTACATAAACAAGTTCGTTAAACGTTATTTGTTGTTTGCCATTGAGTCAAGGCTACATGATTTACATATATAACTGCATATATATGTACTTGTACAAATATATGTATATATTTGCATGCGCAACTGAGTGTAGTTATAAATAGATTCACTCATATTAGATTTGACGCTCGACCCGTCTAATAGGAAGCATGCGGCAATAACAGCTATAGTTCTGATTGGAATGGACTTTGCACTTGACTCAATTTTTATGGGAAACGTATACTTGACCTATGTAAATGCATACGACATTAAAATATATTTAAAGAACTACCAGATTTTAATTATTGCATTGCATTTCGTTTTCATTTCCAAGCAATTCAAATTGGAGCAATTCTGATTGGAGTTGGCTGATCAGACAATGGGGCACACATAGTAAACAGCTGTTGCTTAACTGTATTTCGCTTTCAGCTCACTTGTTTCCTCTGTTATGCACTGTGTGGTAACCCCCACACCCCCCACATCGCCCCACACATTCCAACATAACTACATTTCATACGTTTTCTGTTTTGATTTCTATGCGTTTATTTATCACTTATTTTATTGCCCACTTATGTACACACTTATACACAGACACAAAATCATATTATATAATTAGCCAAATTTAGAGATTTTAAATGTGCTGCCAAGACAACGACGATAACGCACCTTTGTTTTTGTTTTTAACAAAGATCTTTTGCGTATTCTTTTTCGACATGCATCAACAGCGACAACAACAACAACGCGATGTCGTTCTGCAGTGGCACGTTCATGCACTCACTAGCTGTAGCTAACAATTTGAGGCGCTACAATCATTTATTTTGATTTAATTCACAACACGTAATTTGTATTATTTAATACATAATAAGATTTCGCAGAGCGGCTTCGCCTTTCCGTCTTTTCTGACCATTCGACAAAAACATCGAGAACTGTATGGTATTCCAGGGCTGCAGCGCTACCAATGCACGGAGCGCTGCCACATCGCTGAATTGTGTTGCATTTGTCAGGCATCAGGCAATTCTCCTCCGCGGTTGCAGCAACCAACTTCACGCAAGACGCACTTGGAGAAAAACAGAAAAATATCAAAGTATAAAGATATACAAAAACAAAAAGGAAAACAATGAATGTGTCGAACATAAATAACGACTTGCGATCGTATTCACGACACTGGCTAACCGAGTTCATTGAGCAGTATCAGGAGGAGGAGTGTCTCTGGCAGCCGAAGCACCATGACTACAGCAATCACGCCGCCAGAAATAAAGCCTACGATAAATTGGTAGAAAAACTAAAAGAAGTGGAGCCAAATCCAGACCGCGCGATGGTCGTTAGAAAGATCAACTCGCTACGATCCGCATTTCGTCGCGAGTATCGCAAATCCAGCAGCAAGTCCGACTACGAAACACGCCTCTGGTACTACGACAAGCTGCTCTTCATAGCCGACCACAAACCCAAACGCCATTCCAACGAAATGGCTGGCAAGCCTAAACGAGAGCTGCACATTAATTTTGATGACGAGGACTCGATGGACTATGAGGAGGAATCACACCATACGCCTCAGTCACAGCATATCGAAACAATCGTGCCCAGTGCCAGCGACGAAGTCGAGGGAGAGGTGGCTGCCGTCGCCACCAACAATGTTGTGGTCAGTAGTCAGGGCGCCACACTGAGCACCATCTCGGTGACTCCTGCGGATTGTGTCACAATTGTAAAAGACGAATCGCATCAGGCACACAACGAGGTGGCAGAGGCGCACCAGCGATTAGTCGCCCAGGCCAACGCTGCACAATCCTCGTTAGCTGCTGCTGCAGCAGGCGGGCATGCAGTGAAGGTGTTAGAGATAACATCGCTCGACTCCAATTCACAGCGCGAGATACAACAGGTAAGTGCTGGAAATATTCCATATGTGATATAATGAATAGTCTCCATCTCTGTCCCTCTGCTTGGCAGGCTGTCAATTCGCTGGAACATCACCAACAGCAGCTGCAGCACTTGCACCATCAGGCAAATGGACATGCCCAGCCCGTGCCGACCATACAGATTGGACGGGATCATTACCAGCCGCTATTTGGCAGCGCGCCGACCACAGCGTACACGACGACAGCGCCCGCCACCACACACAGGCACGAGGATGAATACGATGCGATCGGGGTAAATGTGGCCAGCAAGCTGCGGTCCATCAATCACACGCAACGCATCATTGCCGAGAAGCTCATCAGCGATGTCCTCTTCAATGCACAGCTCGACAATCTCACAGTCAATTCGTCACTGGCGCAATAATTAATTTATTGTAATTTAGTTTCAGACGCTTTCGGTCTGCTTAATTTTATTTTACATAAGCATATGTATATGTATGTGTTGTACGTACGTCGTCCGTTTATATGTTAGCTTGTATATTAACGTTTAATGTTTATTGTAGATTTAATTACTGCATCAATAGCATGCAATAAATAGTTTTTAACAAGTTTAGCCTGTGCACAATTTGTAATTCCCGCGCTCAATCCGAGTCGCTCTTCTCATCTGCAACACCACTATTATTGCCGGTCAATCTCTTCCACGCATATTTGGCAAACTGCAAGATTTTTCATTGTAGATATATACATCTTCACATTACACATATTCCATTTACCGTAACGGGAGGCAGATCAATCTGTTCCTCGGCGGACACCAGCTTTCGATTATCCTGTAAAAGCTTCCAGCCAAAGTGAACGGCAATCAAGCTGGGTACAATCACAATGGCAACGAGGTTGCGGGACACAAATGAAGGCTTCGGTGTCGGCATTTTTTTGTTTAATAAATTATGACAGGTTCTCGATTATTGTTATTATTTAACATATTTGTGCTTAGCGATGACATCTGTAGTAAATCGATAACTAAAATTTCGATGAATGTACTAAAAATGCCCAGAAAATTTTAATAAAAGGTGGCAGCGCAACAATAATAAGGGCGCATAAATATTTACTTTTGAATAATTGCCTAAACATATTTAATATTTTACTCACGCGACTTTCATAAGGTTAGTTATATATATAATAATAAAATGTTAATGCAGCTAGATTAAAAATTATGTATAATATAATTATGTATTATGTATATATAATTATGTATTACATATCAATGAAAGCACAGCTCTAATCTTGATATATTAAGAGATTTGGTCTTTCGGATGTCCAATAATTTGTCCATTGGTATATTTACCTGTAGTCAAATTATTTCCAGCTATTGCTGCACACACACATACTTATGTACATATACTGTGTAATTAAATAGACAAGTGTCTTCGTTCCCATCACTATTCATCTTTACCCTCGACCTCACCCAGGTTTTTCTGTTTCTGTCTTTGTCCCACGCATGCTGCACGAGGAGCATAGAACACGTAAACAATGGAATTTCTGGGTAAAGTACAAGGTACATTCGAGTTCGCAGTGGGGGTTAGAGCGCATAGCAGGTGTTTGTTGTCGTAGTGTTTGTGCAAAAACAAAAACAACAATAGCAGCACCGCCAGTATTTAAAATAAATACAAATAAACTAGTATAAGTAATGCAATCAGCGGTAGCGGCACTTGCACTGTCTCCGTCTAGAGTTAGTTTAGGCAGAGCTCGCAGCCTATTCACAACAAAGCTAGCGCGGTCGTCACAGCGAAAAAACAAACACACACAGAGAAAAGTAACGAAAGCGTATAAGAGAAAACAAAATTCAAGGGATTTGAGAAAAGTGAGTTACGCGCTTTAGTTGCTCTTCTCGTTGCCGTCCTTGTGTCCTCACAAATTCTATGTTTTTATTTCCATGTTCGTTTCCACTTGCATCCACTCTCCTATTCCATTTGTTCCTGTGGCGTGTGAGCACAGTGCTGCGTTTGCTAAAATCGATAGTCGCCTGGGTGCGCTTTCACCTCGAAGCCATTCTGCAAGACGGGTAAGTGGACTAGCCAAGTGCTCGGTAACTGCTGGTCGCATTGTGTCCATCGTCTGGAGCAGCCTTGCGTCGGTATGCAGAGTATTTGTCGTGCTGTATAAAGACACAGATGAACGCCATCCAGCCAATAATGTTGAGAACTAAGACTAGCATAATGCCATAGAACATGACGATAATAAATTTCTCACGTCGCGTTCGGTCAGCCCACGAAACATGATCCCGTTGAACCTGAGCATGAGTGTGTGTGTGTGTGGGTGTATTTGATAAGTCGTATCTCTCCAAGTGCTGCTCTTACCGGCATATCAAGTCGAGCTGCTGCTGCGATTAGTGTCGTATATACGTTGTCGCCCATTGAAACAAAATTATTAATAAATTCAGACGAAAAATTTTTTAACTATATCTGTACACTGCTCAAAATTCTATACATTTTATGCTGTAATTGCCCATGTTTACAAGTATATTCGATATCAAGTCATATGTATGTATATACATTAATACGTATATAAAAGAAATGTTTACTTCATGTTACGTCAGCTGAAATTTAACTACTACCCTCAAAAGCATTTTTAAATTTTATAAAAATATTATTACTCACCGATATATATAGTGTGTCAACCTTGATACTTTATGTCTCAAGTATATCTGGATGTGTATGTAGATGTATTGGTATAGCTAGGTAGGCCTGGCAATTCCTGAGTTAAGATCTCACATGAAACGGAACAAATTTCATTGCAAATATATTTTAAAGGTCTTTGATCTAGCCGTCCTTTGACCTTTTCAAAATACAATATATATTGTAGTTTTATGTGAATAGCATTTAAACAGAATGACTACGAAATGTCTACAGAGTATATAAATGCGGCTATTTGTGAACATTAAATCTTAAAAGGTTTAGAGTGCTCTATCAATATTTGACTTTAATATAAAGATATCAGAAAATAAACATATGGATATTATAAAAATGTTAATATTATATATTTCATGAACATTTCGTAGCTCAATCATTAATGGACGTAAGGCGACTCAAGCCTGAGGCTCTTCACTAGAGAAATTCCATTTCTTATGTAGTTAGGTTTTTCATGTTATTAATATACACATATATACATAATATGTAATAGGATCTCGAGAGAATCCTTTACTGGATGATACCCTGACTGCGAAGCTCGGCAATTTGCTCAGCTCCATAGCCTAGCAGATTGGAAAGCACCTTGTCTGTGTGCTCGCCGAGCATGGGCGGAGCGGTGCGTGCATCGTTGCGCGCTTCACTGTAAACGACGGGCGGGCCCACGACCTTGACGCTGCCGTCGCGCGGATGTGGCAGAGTCTTGACCAGGCCTATGGCTTGGATGTGCTCGTCCTCAAATACCTCGCGTATGCTGTTGACGGGGCCCACCACAAAGGAGGCGCCCTCAAAGAGACGCATCCAGTTCTTGGACGAGTCGCGTGCCAGGATCTTGGCAAGCACATTGACTAGCTCTTCGCGATTCTTGACCCGATCCTTGTTGGTCTTGAACTTAGCATCGAGAGCGACCCGTTCGATGTTCAGGCGGCTGCACAGCTCCACGAACTGGGCATCGCTGCCGGCTCCCAGGGTCAGGTAGCCATCGGCCGTCTTGAAGCTCTGGTAGGGCACAATGCTGGAGTGCGCGGTGCCCCAGCGCTTGGCCTCTGTGCCGGCGTTCAGGTAGTTGCTGGCCACATTGATCAGGAGCGAGCAGCACGTGGACAGCAGATCCACGTCGATCTTCTGGCCGCGTTGGGTGCGCTCCCGCTGCAGCAGGGCGGCCAGAATGGCGCCGTGCGCATAGAGGCCCGTTGCCACGTCCGTCACTGCCACGCCCACCTTGCTGGGCGGCCCGTCGGGCTGGCCCGTGATATGCAAGAGGCCGCCCATGGATGAGGCAATCACATCGTAGCCCGGTCGCTTGGCATAGGGGCCCACCGATCCATAGCCACTGATGGTGCAGTAGATCAGACGTGGATGCGCTTGACGCAGTTGCTCATAGCCCAGATCGTAGCGCTCCAGTGTGCCGGGCACATAGTTCTCCACGAGCACATCGCACTTGCTCACCAGCTGCTGCATCAGATCCCTGCCACGCTTCATGTCTATGCAGACGCTCTGCTTGTTGCGGTTGGGCGCCAGAAAGTAGGCCGCATCGCCGCTCTTCTCCAGAAATGGCGGGCCCCATTTGCGCGCCTCATCGCCGAAATTGGGCCGCTCCACCTTTATCACCTCGGCGCCCAGATCGGCCAGCACCATGGTGCAGTAGGGTCCAGCGATGATGCGTGTGAGATCTAATATACGCACGCCCCGCAGCGGATGTCGCTCATCTATAGAAGAGTCAAGGTTATTGTCGTTGTTGGTGCTGTTGTTATTCTCGCTGGCAGCGGCAAAGCTTCGTAAGCTTTGACGAGCTGCGCCGACAGCGCATGAGAGTCGTAAACGTTGTAACCACATAGCCATCGTGAGTAACTGTTTACTTCCAATCAATTATTATTTGCTTTGCGGTTGACAGTCACTTTCTCTGTTGTTGTTGCTGCTGCTGCTGCTGCTGCTGTTGTTGCCGTTGTTGTTTATGTTCTTCTGCGCTACGCGACTATTCCAAACGGAAAGTTTTCCAGTCAATTGCTGAGCAGCCACTGAAACAAGCACAGCTGACATATGAGAGCTTTCTTAAAACATCGCCCACCATTCGCTCTTAGTAGAGCGTGCTCAATCTCACTCTCTCTCTCTCTTAGTTTCTCTTAGCTCCATACCTATATACTGTTTTTAGCATAATAGCTTGTTTATCATTTAAGTGCAGATAACAAACTAAGCTCGCGCTCTCTCGAGTTCGTTTCCCTTCGCTTGCTGCTCTCGGAATGTTCCTTAATTGTTGCACAACTATTTTTACATCTTCCACTTTATTACCATTTGCCTTGGTGCTTTCCCGCATTGAACCAAAAGAATCATAAATACTATATCAAACCAGCTTAGTGTTTTTCCCCCTCCAAAGAGCAAAGGTCCTAAACGATCCGAAAAAAAGACGAATACTTTTTTGTTGTCTTTACTTGAACATTTTGCGTGATCTCAAGTTGGGAGACTGTAATTTAAAACATTAGGAAGCATCTAAATTTGGGCACATTCCCAAAGTACTTTAATTATATATTTTTTGTTAATGCCACAGAGCTCTAAATTGGCCGGCTTAAAAGCTATGTGCTCTAATGGTTGCGCAATTAAAAAACAATTCTTATCTCGTAGATAGCTTAATAGTAAACATTTGAAATATTTACAAAGCAAACAAACAAAATATTTGTTAAATTGCCATTAAATATTCGTCAAGCATGAGCGCCCAAAAATATCTGCCTCTAAAATCTCAGTCTCCCACATTTCAGCCGTATTAGATTTGTTTATAGATTTATATATATAGATGCCTTCATATTACGTATTTGTTTATTTGGGTAAATACGTATTTTAGTTTACTTTCAGCTGAATTCAATATGCAACTGGGAACCCTTTTCCCTTTTCACCCGATGATCTCACTTTCAGTTTCGAAGCCTTTTTCTCATACACGTACGACATTGACATAACTCGTGTGTCGATTGCTTATAATCTGTATAATTAACAAACAGTCTAAAGGAAAACTTGTCTGCGTCTTTCTTCACACTGCACTAATAACAACAAATGCAAATAAATCGCAGTTCAAAGGTTCGTCTAATTGCAGGTTAGCAGGAAGCATTTTAAGTCATTATCTCAGCTTACGCAACATACGATAAAGATATAGTTGAGCAAATTAAATTGCATTACTAATGAAATTCTTAGAAAATTGCACAAGTAACAAGCTTACATCTAGTTAACATTATTGCTTGATCCCATTTATTTAAGATGCAACAGAAATCGCTTTGAGTTCCTTCAATTTTCGCTGAGTGCATGTCCGCAGAACGAATGGGATTCACAAAAGAACTAGAAAGCTGAGCTTAAGAGCGGATGCAGTTTGAAGAGAGAGCGTCACACAGCAGACGAACCGGTTCGAGCTTTCGTCTCAGCCAAGCTCAACGAGCCAAGCAGAGCTTTATATGTTATGTGCTGCGCTGGATGCTCATTTATTTGCTTAGCGCGCGTCGTTCGCATCGGTTCGTTCGTTCGTTGAATGCGCTTCGAGTCGTTTTAATTCGCTGCGATCGGTTACAAATGTAATAAATCTGACAATAACAGAAACAAAACACAAATCAAAACAAAACACAACACAACCAAAATAATAGTGTAGCAAAATGAAAGCCAGTGATACGTTGCGCATGCGTTTGCAGCGCATAAAAATTCGGCTAGATAAATGCAATCGCTGCCGCAACTAAATTGAGATGCAGTCGGGCACAAGAAAGTGTTTTGCCAACAGCTATTAGCCAACTGACCAAAAATAGAGAAAAATAGTAAAAACGAAAAAAATTAAGTATTAAGCCATCGCCAGTGTTCGAGCCAAAACAGCGAATTCGAATTCGAGTTCGAGTCGTGTGTTGAGTTGTGCAAGCGCAAATCGCAGCAGCCGCCGCAGTCGCTGCCAACGTCGCCGTCGCCGTCGCCGTTGCTGTCTCTGCCGTCGTCGTAGTTGCAGTTGCAGTCGCAGCCGATGCAATTGCAGACCAGCTGCATATTGCACAATCCTTTCGCTTGTTGGCCAACCTGTTCGCTTGTATCTATTGGATACCATCTATATATATATCTAGATATCTAGATATATATATATTGTCGAAATAATTTCACTTTGAAACCGTTTAACGCAAAGCCGCCAAAATTGCTGTCCTACTGTGTTCCAGGATCCTGGGGTACATCATGCGCCGTTTCCTGCGCTCGGCCATGATTGTCTTCAGCTGGTTTGTGGTGCCCTACAGCCGCTACACCAACATCAAGGTGATTCGACGCAAGCTGCCGCCCATACGCAGTCACCTGCTGGAGATACCTGCCGTCGATCTCGCCAAGCTGATTCGCAACAGAAAGGTAAGTACACCTAATACAAACACACACACACACACACACACACACACACACATTCACATGCGTATGCATATATGTGCAATTTCGTGCATATGTATGTGTATGTATGCTTCAATCGAACGCACCTTAAAATTGGCAATATCTTGTAAAATATCAATAGACAGACAGGCGAGCCTCGAGCAATGGCTTGAGGCTGTGACAGGCGCTGGGACCATATGTGTTTTGGGGCTTTCAATCCACTGTCCACTTAATGCCAATTTAACGACAAGAGAGGCCAGTCGCTTGCGCTTGCCACATCCATTAGAGACTTTGTGGCAAAGCTGAGGCAATTTGTTGCCGTTGACCAACACTGGTCAGCTACACTGACTCGCAGGTGATGGAGGTGATCGCCTTTAACATCGTGACACTACATGAAAATTTTTATTTTTTGTTATTTATTTGTGGTTGAATAAGTTACATAACACTCAAAGCCAAAGAGTGGAAAGTAAAAATATATACATATATGTATAAATAAATATAAATATGGTATTAAATATTTGTTTTTAGTGGACTCTCTATATTTACCTTATTGTAAAATTAAACATTTACGATGTGTTTAAACTATGTCAGAACCTTTGTTCTCCATAAATTGTACGACATATGTTCAAAACAAGATTGGGCTAAAGATCACTTTTAAGAAAAATGGAGTATATAGTATTGTATGACACTTAAATTAAATCATGTAGGTTATCCCACAGGGCAGACCTAATCACACAAGTGTGTTCATTATAATAGTCGTACTGTATCATATAAAACATAAAATTCCTACTAAAACAGTCTTCTCGGCTAGATGGTACCCTGAACCCTGTTGATATTTTAGCCATCTATCTAGAAATGACGGACGGAGATGACCATATCACCTCAGCTTGTCAAGCCAAGAATATATGTATGTATGGGGATTCTTTATAGTATATAAATTTCTTTATGATACCCACTTTAGAGGAGAAAACGAGGAAGTCTCTGACAGTGAGATTTGTATAGATAAAATTGGAAAACAAAAATATATACTTGATCTGTTTTGCTTTATATATATATTTAGGCAATGCAGTAGAGTTCTTAAAAGTTCTTCAACTTTTACTTAAGTTAATTAATACAAAATATTCATATCAACAAAACTTTTAACATTTTCCATAAGTTTTCCATTACATTACGTATTTTATTTTCACGTATTTTTTGGCTTTCATTTACAATTGCATTACATCAGTTAGTGGACCAAGGCACATAGCTTATATTACTCATCCTAATCTCAATTCAAACAAAGCACTTTATTATATGTATGCAAACTTTTTGAGCCGCAGTTGGCGCTGTTTCAAAATCGGCCTGTAGAAATCCCAGTCGGAGCAGCAATACGTCAAATTGGTTAGCTAACCGCGGCCTAGAGAGTTTGCTTGGCTGCAGCTACATGCACACATATGAATATACTATCTTGGCCATATCAATAACATCTGGTAACTACCTCAAATTACGCACGGATAGACGACGAGTGAGTCGAGATGACGAATTTATGTACTGAAAACAATGAAAGAGTATCTGCGAAATACATGCATACATCTTACATAGATACACATGCATTACACACATGTGCTCATAAATAATTGCAAGCTCTGGGCTGGTTATGTTTTATTGTAGTTGTAAATGTTGTTATTGTTGTTGTTGCTTGGGCTTCTTTAGCCCGGTTTGTTGTGCTCTGTAAGATTCATTGCGTTCATTGGTCCACATCCACATACAGCGCACTTAAGGTCATGACTTGACAGACCTTATCGAATCACTCACACACACACGCACACTATCACAGGCACACACTTGCACACTATCACACGCACACACTTACACGTGCAGTCGTATTTCTTTAATTTCGCCTTACTCTGTTTTTATTAAATTTTATTTTAATTTTTTTATAGTTTATTCACTCGTTCATATAAATGTTTAACTACATTTTAATGCATTATTTTTATTATAATTTTTATATACATTTTTTTTTCTTTTGTGTTTTTATTTGTGTTTCATTGTCAGTGCTTAAGCGATTGCTTCACTTCGTTTACGCAAATTTTTTAAAACAATTATAAAATTGTTGTCTCTTGTGTATTTGTCTGTGCCCAAAGTAGTTAGCTGTGCGTGGCTTTGTCTAGATAAATATGTATGCATATACATATATGTATATATGTGCATATATATGTGAGTGTTTATTGTCGGGTCATCGCCAGCGACAAATGCGACAACATTTTGCTTAATTACTGCACAAATGGAGATTTATTTAAACAATAAGTGGGCACAAGATCTGAGATATGTTCATTGCAGATTTATTATGCTGAAGTATATTTTTAAAGTCTATTCGAAGTCCGTTCTTAGGTAGCGTGAATCATTTGTATAATGGACGCTTAAGTATTTTGCAAGACAAATTATATTTCAATTTATATGTAGAAATGTGTACATAGATATCTATCAGTCATTCGTATGTATGATGCTCGCTCTGTCAGTCATCAATCGTAGCTAACAGCTGAATCGTTCTCTCTCTCTCTCTCTCTCTCTCTCTCTCTCTCTCTCTCTCTCTCTTGACTCACGTATACAAAGCACAAATAACTAAAGCAGAGCACGTAAAGCTTCTCAGCTACATGCCACTAATACACACGCACAACTACACACACACACACATGCGTACACATAGCACACTGCGAGGTATTTCCATAGTCGACTGACCAACTGCGGCCTAAACTTGTTTTCTGTTTCGCTTTTCCTTCTGTTTATCTTTCCTTTAGACTTTAGTTTGATGTATGTAGCTATCTGTTTATATACATGTATATACATATGTATGTATATGTGTATATATATACATATGTGCAGCTGCCGAATCTGTGTCTTTGTGTCGCGTTTACATTGCATGTTTCACTTGTGCTTTATCAACAATTACAACAAGACACAAGTGAATGGAAATGTCGCTTAGTTCAATACCCTTTTGAAAGACAGAACTAGAGATTTTGCAGGTCATAAACTGTCTACATTCACATATTATTCTGATGCGATCTTGAAACTGCCCAGGAACTGACAAAATCTTTTGATATTTCTTCTTCTTAAATTATATAAAGGTTTATATTTGAAGAACTAAATTTAAATTTCCATTTTAATTTCTTAATCGGAATAAATTTTAATGACAAGCTATTAAAAAATTGATGATGATCTTTAAAATCGCTTTACATATTACTCAGATATCTTTGATTTTCGAGGTAAAAGGCAAGTAACTAAGGACTTCATCTAAACCTCTTTGCCATAACTATAAAGCTAATTTGTTAAAGAATTTCAATATAATAGCAAAATACTTCAATTTTTCCAAAGGCGAGGTTTAAGGGGATCATATTTGGAATATATGTATTTTAGTATTCGAAATATAGCTTGTATAAAAGGGTATATAAAGCGAGTTACTAGTAAAATAGAAACCCCATTTTTCACTTTACAACCCGAAATTTCTGATTTTTTTTCTTTTCTTCTCGTCTACGTTTCAATGGCTTCGATTGTTTGCCTTCATCTGAGTCTTCAACCTGGGGCTCTGTGTAACCACTTACAACACCTGGCTACTTACAACACCTCACGCATGTTGCAGCCCCAGGTAGTGAGCTGCCTAGATACATACAAAACTTGAGTTCGAGTCTGGGTTTGAGTTGTGGCCGCAACTGATTTAATAGTGCACTGGATATCATTGAAAAGTCGAGTAGCCTTAAATTTAATTTAATGATACCTCTGTGACGATCTCCGTTTGCATACGAACGTATGATTAGCTAGGTAACTGCGTATTGAGCACTTTGGGCCTTCAGATGCATTGCGCTTCAGCTTATTGAGAAATTAATTCAGGCATTGAAACGAATTGCAGGCAGCTATGGGAATGTCAACTCGAATTAGACGGCTCAGTTTCAGTCTGTATCAGATATATATACATATATACATATATATCAATTAAAAGCTAATAACTTTACTTGTTTCTCAATTCGTATTGAGAGGCTTGATTAACAACTCGTGTTTTTTAAGTGTGTGTATTTCATATATTTAATAGAGTCCAGCGTGTGGCCCTACGCCATAGGCAATTGAAAATCCGCACATTACTCATACGCCGCGTCGTACGCTGAGGCATTCACATTCTTGTCGCTCTCCCTCGCTCTTTCTTTCCCTGGCAAGCAGACAATTGGCGGGTGCTGCATGATTGTGAATTTTTATTGATTTTAATTTAACGTAAATTGCTTTTGTGCCGTTTGTTTGGTTCTCACAAGCAATTAAGCGACAAGAATGGAGCAATGAAACATTGATCAAATAAGCACACACAAACTGGAAATGTTAAAGTCTAGCTAATGCGGAAATGATCAGCGAGCTCTCGTTTTTTATATCTTTGCAGATTAAGAGCGAAGAAGTCGTCGAGGCATACATCGAACGATGTCGACAGGTAATGGAGTCACACAATTGATTGACCGACAAAGGCTTAACAGGTGTGCGTGTGTGTGTGTGTGTGTCTGTTTATGCTCTATGATTCACAGGTAAATCCGCTGATCAATGCGATTGTGCAGGATCGCTTTGAGGAGGCGCTGGAGGAGGCGCGCGAGATTGACAATGTGATTGCCATGGGCATTAACAGCGTCGAGTCCATGGAGGAGCATACGCCGCTGCTGGGCATACCGGTCACGGTCAAGGAGAGCATCGCCGTCAAGGGTATGACCAACCAGGCGGGCCGTGTCTTCAAGACCCCGCAAATAGCCAAAGCGGACGCGCCCGTCGTGGAGCAGATCAAGCGTTGCGGCGGCATCATCTTGCTGGTGTCCAACACTCCGGAGCTGTGCCTGCTCTGGGAGACGTACAACAATGTCACGGGCCAGACGAAGAACCCCTACGATCTGAAGCGCACCCCAGGCGGCTCCTCGGGCGGCGAGGCGGCGCTGCTGGCGAGTGGCGCCTCCCTGCTGGGCCTCACCTCGGACATTGGCGGCTCCTCGCGTCTGCCGGCCATGTTCAGCGGCATCTGGGGCCACAAGCCCACACCGTATGCGGTCTCCTTTCGGGGCCACCATCCGACCAGCGACTTTCCCAAGTGGGGCGACTTCTTTACCATTGCGCCGATGACACGTTACGCCAAGGACCTGCCGCTGCTGCTCAAGTGCATGAGCGATCCGACCGGGCCGAAGCTGACGCTCGACAAGGAGATCAGTGCGAACGGCATCCGCTTCTTCTTCATGGACAACGACGGTCCCTCGGGCATGATGCGGCCGCTCAGCCGGGACCTGCATGCGGCCATTAATCGAGTGGCCAGCGACTTCAATGCGAAGCGTGTGAACATACGGAAGATGAAGTGGTCGCTGGACATCTCGCTGTCCGCCATGCTGACCATGAAGAACATCGAGACCATCTACCACAAGACCGAGGAGGGGGAGCAGCCGAAGACCGTGTGCAAGGAGACGGTCAAGTATTTCTTTGGCTGCTCGGACAGCATCCTGCCCTCGGTGATCTTCGGCCATCTGCAGAATTTCATGAAGATCATACCCAATTCACGGCACAAGCATCTGGCCAGCATCATCGAAGCGCTCAAGACTGAATTCAAGGAGCTGCTCGGCACAGACGGCGTCTTCCTCTACCCCACATTCCCCAACACAGCGCACCAGCACTACCAGATCTACCACAAGCTGCTGGAGCCGATGTACATGGCGATCTTCAACACGCTCGGCCTGCCCGTCACCAACTGCATGATTGGCCTGGATCGTCGCAACCTGCCCATGGGCATCCAGGTGGTTGCCAATCCCGGCCAGGACCATCTCTGTCTGGCCGTGGCCCGGGAAATGGAGCGACGCTACGGCGGCTGGGTGCGTCCGCCCTCGGAGGATAGCCACAGCCACGCCCAGTCGAGCAGCAAGCGTTAGTTAATTGCATCATTCGGCATCCCCATATAAATCGATATTTCTGATACCATTCCTCGGTGAACCCTTAGCTGACTATGTCGAGCACGATTGAGAAACCCAAAGAAAACCTCTAAAAATGTCCGATTTTGTTCTTAGTTCTGTTGAGTTGGGGCTAACTTTAATTATATCTTTATTACCATTCACCCACATATAAGGAAAATTCATGGAATCACATCACACATTTTAGTTAAAGTTGCGGAGTATTAAATTATTGCTTTTGTAATTGTCCAAAATTCCTTGTTGTATGTACTCGATATCTATATTGTATGTATGTATATATATTCAGCTAGATCTTAAGCGCTAGGTTACGATGACCGCAGCTGTCGGCATAGATCATAACTATGTATAATATCATTTTTCTAGCATCTATTGCGTATTATTTAAGCACATCGAAATGTGTGTGTCTTCTCATTGGGATCTTATCGATTGGATATAATTGAACTTTTATTTCTAAATAAAAAAGAGTGAATATTTAACTGAAACGTATACCAGATATATGCATATACATATACATATATATATATTTTTACATTGAGCCAAATTGTTAATAAAAAAAATGAGTTTATTTTATCAACCAAAATTATATACATATGTATTTCATGAATTTCTCTTGCGCAAAAGCATTTAGGCAGCAGCTGCTTGGCCTTCAGCTCAGGCAGCAGAGTCTGGGGCGAGGAGGGGAGGTATCTAACTAGGCGCTGTTATGGGCTAATAACGATTATAATAAGCAACAGCAGCAGCAACAACAACAAAACGCAAACGCTGCCTAATAAGCAGCTACTGCTAGAGTCGCAAAACAAATGCATGTTCCACCTGGCTGCGCCGCAGCACAGAACATTGAAAGCTGCAGCATGTGTGTGAGTGTTATATATACATACATATATGTATACACACGCACATACATATGCATATACTGAGTGCATGCAGCAGCGCCTGCCCCTGGCCAGCCAAGGCATCATCAATACGCTGCTCTAAAGTGCTTCTACCAGGTTTTCGATTTATTGGCCAGGCGCGCCTAGCCTAGCCTAGCGCACAGTTAGATCTTTTCGACAATCATGAATTTAGTTGCTGCTGTTATTTTTTATATTTTTTGTTTTTAGCTTTTGGAGTAGCTCAAGGTTTGGCCAAAATGGCTTGCGCAATTGCGCTTGCGGCTCGGCGACTCTAAGTTTTGTCACAGAACGTGTTATTTGGCCAAAAATCGGAGGTAAGTTGTATTCTGTGCAAAGAATGTGGCGGCCAAATTAAAGTTTTTAGCTATGAAATATTTTTATTTTGTTTCTGTGTGTGTGTGTGTTTGTTTTTTTTTCTCACTTTGACCATGCGACTAGAAACGAGTTGCAGCGCGCAATTAACACGCGCTGTAAATTTTGGCTGTTATAATTAGCATGGAGTTCATAGCGTGTGTTAGCCAAAGTTCTACTGCAGGCGGACGAGGGTTAAAGTGAATAGTGTTTAAGCCAGCTTCACATTCGACTACCTGTTGGCCAACTGTCCGTAAAATGAGAGCGCAGTCAGCCAAGCAGCGCTGAATGGAAGTGGTATAGAGAGACATAAAAAGAGAGAGAGAAAGAGAGGGAGAAAGAGAGTCGGTAGCTGCATGTGGTACGAAATGTACCAAAAATAGCTCAAATTACATGTTAGGTGAAGAGTACCTAACAAATTAATTTTTTTTTTTTTAATTTTTATTTAATATACTATTATAATTTAAATAATTATATATATTATTAATAATAACAAAAATAACTTATATTCCTATAACTATCTTCCTGTGATCTGTAAAAAATATTGTCAGAAAAATTGGTGCCGTTCCACATCATTGTTTGCAGTCAACCAAAATTTTTCCAAGTGTAGCCGAAGCAACTGTAGCAAAATGCTGAGCGTAACAAATTGTATGCTCATTGATCAGCAATAAACTTAAGCCGTTATCAATGCTACTCACACACGCACGCACACATGCATGCACCGAGAGCGTGTGAGCGAGCTGTTGACCATTCCAGTCAGCAGCATTCCAGTGTCAGAAAATGGCTGTCTTCAGTCCGCAGCCAAGCCTATCCCAATTCCGGCCAGCGAGCAGCTCGCTCACTTCGAATCTGACTCAAGCAGCGAGCGGTTGTGCCTCCGCATCAAATCAACTAAGTCATTTTATAGACATCCATACATATTGACAGATTGACTGTACCATTATATACATACATACATACATACATACATACATACATATAGAGTTAAGTTTTTGGTAATTTTATTCTGTGCATTTGAGGTGACAAATTTAATGCATATTTGTTTACCGTGATCTACACAGATAGATTAAAATTGTGTCGATTACCGTGTTAAATCAACTGAAAATCAAGTGTGATCTTAACCCCGTAAGACTCGAACACGTGTTTGCTTTAGCTGGCAAATGCAAATAGATTAGTTTTATGCCACGTTTTGGCAATTTTTGTTGTTAATTAATTAATTTTCATAGAATTGAGAAATAGGAAAGTATCTGGATTAGTCGTTGATGCCAAAAAACAGAAATCACTAAAGTTGAAAAATTAAAATAGTAGAATATTATATACATATATACATATGTATGTATGTACATATATACAGATAGTACACACATATATGAATAAATTCTTGATTTTTGGTTTGAATAATACAATTTACTATATTAAAGTCCTACTATAATTGAATTTCATAAGAGTCTCGGAGCATTCGTCGTATACTTGAACTAAAACCCAATATTTGAATTTTCTTGTTAGATAAGAAATAGTTAATTAGAGGGCATACAGCCATATTGTATCATTCCAAAGATAGACCATTTTTTTTCTTAAAAGAAAAAAAATAAATAAAAAAGCAGATAATGTTTGAATACCCTAAAAATTAATTTACAAAGTAAAAAATTGCAGAAATCTGTATAATATATAGGAGTATAATAATATACTCGCATTTCCGCACTTGAAAACATGATATGATTTAATAATATTTTTAAGCAGAGCTTCCATCGAAAAAATGCTTAATAGTCTCTTTAAGTATTTAATACATTTCGCTGAAGGTATTTACATAAATCGAAAAGAATATTCAGAATAGTTCTTACAGCATTATTTCACGGGGATGTAGTAAATGACTTATTTAATAGTAGTTATGAACGCAAGCAAAGCACTTAACAAATTAAATTTTCAAAAAATGAAAAGCTAAAAAAAGAAAACCAAATGTGTGATCATGTGATGGCAGATGATGGAGGAGAACACGTCAGACTACTTCTCTTTGGCTGCTTGGAGTTTGCGGGGCTTGGGCTCTGGCGGATCGATCAGATTGCCATGACGCACCACGTCGATGTGGCCCAGGCGAATCATTTTCTCCTCCCAAATCGAAATGTTTTTTCTGCAAAAGTAAATGAAATGATTAGTGAAGTCATTGACTTTTGACCTTTGGCTGGATTGATATAATTACTTGTACTGATCAAGCTCTTTGCGCGATTCGCTCATATAGACGGCCTTTTCCTCGTCCGACAGACGTGCCCATTTGGCAGTTGCCTTCTGATGCCATTCGCGGTACGTTTGATTCTCTGTTTGTGGCGTATTCGTGCGCTCGATGGAAATAAAACGAAGGAATGCAGACGCCGGTTTCTTGGGTCGTCCTAGCTCCTTGATACGCTTGCGGAGCTGTTTGCGTTCCTTGGCATCGCTGATGTCCTGTTTTAACTGCTTGAGTTCGGATCGCTGCTCTTCGGTCAGCGTGGCGTCGTACTTAGTGCGTTTCTCCAGATAGAGCTCCTGATCCCTTTTGTACTCCGATTGCAAGCGCTCCTTCAGCTTGGGATCAACCTCTCCCCAGCTTTTGGATAGCTGTCGTACTACCTCAATGGTGCTTATGCTAGGATTTTTGGCCAACATCTTGGGTCGCATTTCGCGCATGAAGCGAAAATAAGGCGTTAGCGGCTTCTTTGGCCTGGGCGGCAGACCGATTTTCTCTTCCAGCGTCTTGGAGTGAAGCGCTGAGCTATTGCTCAGGCTGGCAGCGGCCAATGGTCTGTTTGGTTTTGGCGTAGGTGTGAAATTGTCATTGTTGATTTGATTTGTATGAGCAGTGTCTTGATTTTTGGCTACAACTTGCCTGACTTTGCTTATTAGCGACCCGAAGATGGAGCCTCGCGACAGCAGCGTCGTTGTGTAGATCATTTTGCAATTGGTTTTGTGTGTTAGTTGAGTTCTTAAATGTTTCTATTTTTACGTTGTTCTCACAGCTTTTGCATTAATAACTTGTTGAATTTACAAACTAGAATAAGTTTACGTAAAAAATGCGGCTTTTTTCTAGAGTTGCTTTGATTTGCACAGCTGTCTGCTATCGTTAATGCTATCGATAGTAAAGAGCCAAAAATAAATAAAATACTATTACTATTATTATTTGTTATCGATGGGTAAAAAAATAATTGCCTAGGTGGCGCCACTCAAACTTACAACTATGTGGTGTGGTCACAAAGAGGGCGCTTTGAGCTGTGCAGCTCTGCTGTGTGCGAGTGTGATGGCAACATCTGTGCAAGCAATATAGCTATAAATACCAGTAAAAGCGCGCCAACATTTGAGTTGATATCAATTAAAATAACGATTATTAAATTTTATTGAACTAATTTTGACTGATTTGTCTATATAGTCTGCAAATTAGCTGTTAGTTGTTGGCACTGAATCAGTGCTTATAGTTTATGAATTATTAGCAACTGCTTATATATATAATCAAGTTCAATTTGATATCCTGCATTTATAATTTCATGGCCAAAACCGGATATTAAAACGTTTTTCGCTCTACTGCACACGCGCTGCAGTTATTGTGTTGTGGCTCATGACAATTTGTCGCCAGCAATTGTTGTTCACTGTCAGTTGGCAATGCGGCTGTTGTTGTTGGTCTGATTATTTGTGGTTCGCTGTTGGCCAATTTACTTATTGGCTTACTCCACATAGCCCGTCAACGCTGTCGCACCAAAACTAATTCACTGCTCATTTTCCCAACCGACCCGATCACAGTTTTATGGGAATGCATTTGGACAGATATAAGATATATGTCTGTATTCACTTTTCCGACTTCCGTCAAGTGCGCTTGGCCAAGCCCAGTTGATTCGGCCAACTCCCAGTCGCCGCTTGTTATGTAACGGCCTGGCGAATTGCTGTTTTACTTCTTCTGGTCAAACAATTTTTGGTTGGCCCTCGTTGCGCCAAGGCGCGACTCTGTTTATATACACGTATTTAGGTGTGTATATGTGTGTGTGTCCGTGTGTTCGGTTGATTGTGCAAGCAGCGACTGACACAAATTCTTTGTGGCCGCTGGCAAATGTTGCAATTTGGGCTGTGTTTGGCTATTTCGCGCGATAAAGGAAAGAAACAGCTGAAAAGCAAACGCCGAACAAATAACGAGTTTCGATTCGCCCAGGCAGGCAATCATTGAATGCGGCGGCTGCATTTAAATTTTGCACATGAGTCGGCTTGCTTG